AGTAGGATTCAAAGTTCAAACTCACAGTCTAAATATGTCAAGAACAAAAAGGACCAGAAAACCCAAGCTATTCATCATCTATACTTTATCAGAGCGCACAGCATTAGGCATTTTTCTACTGTACACTCTATTTAGCCTTCTTTTTCTTCAAATCAGTGAGTACCATCTTGGCAATTATGTAGAAATAATCATATGGCGATTTTCGTAACAGGAAAAAAGTATAAGTAATAGAATTTAAGAATGTGCGTAGAAGGTACGTCAATGTGCTAAAATTAAAAATACTCAAGTCACTACAGAATATTATGTTTTCTTTCTGGAAGGGCTTGCATTACAGAGAGAAAACACTTGACTCATTACTAGGACATTAATCATCGAGCACCAAGGAAAACACAATTTTCCACACACTATTCCTAAGATACGTATTGGCCAACGTTTGGCTTTGTTTCCCATCCTTTCTGCTTTCTATCTAAGAATAAAATACTTATAGGAAAGAACAGACACTAAAATTGGATAAGTCAGTAACACACACCATCCCAAACCCAGCAGTAATCAGAACACAGAGACATAACTAGTTGGTGAAACCAGCCAAGTTTCTTAAATCTGGCTGTCTCACCCATACCATCAAGAAAACACAATTACATATGTAGCGTCTTAGGGTATAAAAAATGAGAACAACACTAATTCAAGCCAATAACCAAAAGAAAAGCTAAACTATGCATACTGTCACCACAACACCCATGGACCACAAATTTACTCTTGTGAGTAATTTGAGTCTCACAGGCTTTTGCGCCCAGGCTGGCTTTGAACCAGAATCCTCAGAACTCTGCCACCTGAGTTCTAGCTAGGATTGCAGGCATGAGCCACCAGCGCCCAACAAGAATACTCTTCAATATGCCTCGAGATAAACACAGGAATCTCAGAACCTGGCACAGAGTACATGGTATGTAAATTCCAAGAGATATGGGCTCAATACTCACCCCTCTTCTCTGATGTAGTGGAGCAAATTTCTACTCATCTATATCATTGACCTGTGAGAAAAAGAAAAGGAGGCGTAATGTTGGAAAATGCTCTACAGAAAAAGTGACATAGAGCTAAATTAAGGTTCCATTTATTTGTTACAATAAGTAGTGTTTTCCCTTCTTTCAGAAAGCTAACGACAATTTCAGTACACAGCACCGTTGCTCAGACTGCTTTCTGAACATCATTTATTTGTTATTCAATAGTGTATTTGCTGTGTACAAATGAGTAAATACTTCTGCATAAAAAAATAAGAGGGGCTGGGAAGGTGGCTCAGTGGTAGAGTGCTTGCCTTGCATGCATGAGGCCCTGGGTTCCATTCCTCAGCACCACATACACAGAAAAAAGCTGAAGTGGCACTGTGGCTCAAGTGGTAGAACACTATCCTGGAGCACAGAGAGGCTCAGGGACAGTCCCCAGGCCTTGAGTTCAAGCCCCAGGATCGCCAAAAAGGAAAAAACTGAAGCAAGATTTAAAAAATAAAAGATAAAAAAAATGTGCACTGCCTTGATAGATTTGGAATGCTAATGCCCAGAATGGCATCACTGAAAGATCGCCCATTAATGCCAGGATGAGAAGCTTACTTGTCTTTAAATTAGACAGCCAACATCTGCTTCTCAGATTGACTTCTGCACTTGAGTCCTTCAGTGTCCTCAGACCCTTGTGCTCATCTGCTTCCAGACATGCGCCCCCTCGTGGTAAAGAACCTCCCTAGCCAGACCCGTTCTGGGCAGCTTCGACTACTGTGCTGAGAAAGAGGTCTAGCAAGTGTACAGTAAGAAAAGCCCATCACTTGTACTACGCTAGTAAAATAGGATGCAAAAGCCTGGAAAATGTTTGAACACTAGAGAAAGGTTCCAAGAAATCAGAGAATGAAAGGCAAGAGTAGTAACGGCCAAGTCCTGCGTGTGCCAGCTAGATAACGCAGAATCAAAGTGGCTCTGTGGCTCAGGAGGTAGAGTGCGTGCCTTGAGCTGAAGAGCACAAGGACAGCGCCCAGGCCCAGAGCTCAAGCCCCACGACCGACCAAAAAAAAAAAAAAAGGAAGAATCAAGGATGGGCATGCTTGAATTTAAATAATAAAAATATCAATAATAAAATAATAAAAAATGTTCCCCCCCCCCAACATAAACTTGTGAAGAAGTATCCTTGAACTCAGGGCCTGGGTGCTGTCCCTGAACCTTGTTGCTCAAAGCTAGCTAGCACTCTACCGCTCCAGCCACAGCTCTATTTCCAGCATTTTGTTTTGGAGATAAAGAGTCTCACAGACATTCCATATGGATTTGTAGTGTTCTGTATCTGTATTACTCAATCTCCTTGTAGGTTTTGGAAGTGGAGAACTGTTATATTTTTAATAATTCTGCCCTTTTCTCATTCCATCAGGAAGTCCCTTCATTCTTTTTTTTTAATTTATCGTTACTGCTATTTTTCATTTACGGTAAAGGTAATGTGCAGCGGGCTTGCGGTTCCGTAAGTGAGATGGAGAGGACATCTCATTTTGGACAGTCACCCTTTCCCTCACTCTCCCAGGTTTTTTCCCTCCCACAAGTTGTAGAGTTCCTTTTCAACACAGTGTCTGGTAAGTACTACTGCTGCCTTTGTTCGCCCTTTGTCCCTCCATTTCTATGCCCCCCCCTTTCCCCTCCCAAAGACAGATAAATGAACAAACAAGACAAAAGGAAATGAAAACAAAAACAGCAACAACCATAAAACAACCTCATTTCCGTTTCCTGGAGCTCTTTGGGTAAATATTATTTTATACGATCAAAGGCACAGAGACACTGTACCTATGTGAGCCTCTCCAGAATGTCTGCCTTTGGTCTCACTCTGTGTGAATGTCTAGAGACCTGTATAGTTTGTCACGTCTCAGTGTATTGTTTTTTTCTCATGCCATCTAATGTGTTTACTTAAGAGATTTCTGGGCACATTCGAGTTCCTACAAATGAAGGAAGCCATACAACCTGTGTTTCTTTGGGTCTGGCTTGCTTACATTCTTTCTCTTGATGTATGCCATCAATCCTATTGGCTTTGGTTACTGTTTTTATTGTTTTTGGCTTTTTCTTTATCAAACTGGGACCCTTTCCACCTCGGGCCTTGAGAAGCTAGGCTACAGATATGCTGGTTAGAGACCAGCACTTACCACGGTTGTGCCTGATTCCTTTTGGGAAGGGATTCTCTGTTGCCTGCTGTCTCTCTGGTTCTAAGTTCCTCACTCCAGCCGCTTTGTCTACCTTAATAATTAAAAAATACACCATCATTAATGAATGGTTTTCTATTTTCATCAAATCATTTATAAATTTTATGGGGAAATTAGCTACTTGGAGGTTTTTGCACTGACTGATTTGAATCTTTCCATATTAACCCACATGGATTAATAATCAACACCATAATATACTGTGGTTTTCGGAAAGATCTTGCATTTAAGGGAGAAGACACCCAACTTCTCATTCAGACATTACATTACTCATGCAGCACATAGTGACCCGCCATCTCATGGACAATATTTCTGAGATATGTTATAACTCCTATTTGGTCTAGCATCTTCCTATAGTTTCTGCTTTCTACCGAAATAAAAAATACTTAGTGAAAAGTACATACACTAAAACTGTATAGCTCAGTAAACTGGCACCCTCCAAAACATAGCAAGAAATCAACTCACAGACAAGAAAAATAAGATCGCAGTAATCACCTAGGTTTATTACTTCTGACTGCCTCATCTGTACTATAGACAGAACGAAATTATGCATCTGGCTACTACTCCAAAAACAGTGAGAAAAACAACAACAAAAACTAAGGCAATGATTCCATTAGAAGCAGAAAAAATTCAGTAAGGAATCAACTCCACAGATCAAAAGAACTTACAAGATTGCAGCAATCACCTAATTATCTTGGAGTATCCCATGGATACCATGCCACGCAAGAATTATATATCGATAGATTCTAATCTTACAACAATAAAAGAAACAATTCGAGTCCTTGATAACCGTGGTTGTAAAAAAGAAACCTAACGTGACCCTTAAAATTGTACGAACAGATTCTCCTTCCTGAAAAACCAGGAATTAAACAAACAAGAAGAACCTGATCGTGTTTCGCACAAAGAGATCTTCCCCAAGTTTCTTGATTCAATATGAAATTGTCATCATAGATCTAGGTTTATCCTGTGGTCACTAATGAAAGAAAGACTTGGGGGTGGGGGGAAGTCTTTAAGAACTGAATAATGCAGGTGTCCATGGTGACAATCTCTTCTTGAAAAAGTCATTGAAGAAATGACTGGAGAAATCTAGCATAGCGTCCTTGACCACGAAAATTCCAAAGAGCCTTGGTTTAGAACTTACCCTCTTCTCTCAAGCGGAGGAATAGATCCCGGCTTGTCTATGTCAGCAATGCTAGCAGAAAGAAAACATATGCCACCTTAGGAGTTACTTGACAACAGAAACAAGAACGAACTAAAACATGGTCCCTTGGCCATTAGCACACGGACCTTCTTCTGGGTGAGGCATTTGAGATTTTCGGTGCACACCGTGGACTGCTTACTCCGCTCAGCATCCCAGCAGTTTAAACTTCGTCATTTGTTACTCAAGAACCTATACCGTACCACCAATACGGACCAGCCCTGTGTGGAAACGAAGTGAAGCTACTCACTGAATACACGTGTGCCTGGTCTCATAGGACAGGGTGTCACTGACTTTGATAAGGTCTTGCCACGGTGCTGTGACCGCCACACACATCACCATGGCCGGCTCCTAGCTGAATCCCACCTACTTAACGCCTTTACTTATTGCTCAGGAATGTATTCCTTATATACCAGCATCAAAACTTCTCCTTTCAAATACAAGTGAAGCTGGTCCTGTAATAGATGAAGGATGCGCACTGCCTGGTAAGACAGGACACTAATGACAAGAGAGCTTTCCCTCTGTGGTCTCTCTGAGGGAGGCGGCAGGCAGGCAGGGCTGAGTATTTGTCTTATTACCCAGCCCTCATGTAGTTCTCTGCTTGATGTCTGCATTGAGTCCTTCGGCCATCCTCAGACCCTTGTGCTCAACATCGATCCAGACATTCGCCCAGACATGCCCCATAGCTATGCTTATTCTAGGCAGCCAAATGCACCGTGTGATGCACGAAGAACAATGAATGTCCAGTACGTGTTTGTTCTGAGTTGGATCCATAGCATCTTTCGTAGGGGAAAAAAAAAATGTCACTTCCATAGTTCTAGTAGATCAGGTGAATGTGTTCCAGAAACACCATGGATCTTTAAAAAGTTAATGTTTAAGAAGTCAATCATAGCACTACAGTAAAAACAGGCGTGCAAGCCGGGCACTGGTGGCTCATGCCTGTAATCCCTAGCTACTCAGGAGGCTGAGATCTGAGAATCATGGTTCAAAGCCAGCCCGGGCAGGAAAGGCCGTGAGACTCTTATCTCCAATGAACCACCAGAAAACTGTAAGTAGTGCTGTGGCTCAAGTGGTAGAGTGCTAGCCTTAAGCTGAATAGCTGAGGGACAGCACCCAGGCCCAGAGTTCAAGACCCACAACGGACCAGAAAAAAAAAAAAAACAAAAAACAAGCGTGCAAATATCAAAGTTCGGGATAATAGCAAGCCAATGCTTTGAACTGTATCAGAAATTACTGTGGCTAAACAAAACTCCTGAAACAATGCCACTGGTTTCCCAATATTATTTAACTTCTTTCTTTAGAAATGAATTAAAATGAATAAATGCATATCAACAAATTAAAAAAAATACTCCTCAGAAAGGAAGTGACATTCTTGAGGCCAAAATACATCTTTCAGGAATAAACCGCCACTCGAGCTTCTGAGATAGGGAACTCAGAAGATTTTGGCCTTTTGACATCACAAAGCAAAGCATACTAGAAAAAAAATTAAAAGCACCAGAGTAACGGCTCACTTTTCTTCATCCAAGTATGTTGTAGTTTTTTACCTGCAGCAACATAGCAAAGAAAGATATCAGATTCAAAAACGTGAAAGGTCATTCTAAGTAAAGCACAGTGCTTTTTTCTTTTTTACAGGTATGTTAATATGTTTACTTAATATTTTAGGTGCAAAGCTTTGAGAATTAACTGCACACTTGGATATGCCATGAAAAAATATATATTTGCAATCACCTGATAATAGCAAACATGAAACTCCTTCCATTTTTTTCTGGTGGTTCACTGGAGATAAAAGTCTCACAGACTTTCCTGCCAGGCTGGCTTTGAATCACGATCCTCAGATCTCAGCCTCCTGAGTAGCTGGGATGACAGGTGTGGGCCACCAGGACCCAGCTCTTAGTGAGATTCTTTTTTTTTTTTTGGGTCCGGTCGTGGGGCCTGAACTCTGGGCCTGGGCGCTGTCCCTCAGCTCTTCAGCTCAAGGCTCTACTACTTGAGCCACAGCACCACTTCTGGCTTTTTCTGCTTATGTGGTGCTGAGGAATCGAACCCAGGGCCTCATGCATGCAAGGCAAGCACTCTACCACTGAGCCACCTTCCCAGCCCCTCTTAGTGAGATTCTTTCGGGTCTACTGTGCTAATCTTTGACACCATGTGCTTGGATGTTCGTACCTCGCTCTAGATTCTGGAGTTTAATAGCCATTATATATATATATCTTTTTTTTTTTTTTAATGCTTCTGCCCCTTTCTTCCTTGCAGGAAATCCCAGAACGCTTTTATCACCTGGCTGGAGGGGGCCCCATGGATCACATGAGAGTTCATCATTCCTCTTAGTTTCTTTGTATTTCCAACCAGGACCCTACCAACCTCAGCCTTCTGAGCAGCTGGGATTACATATGTGAACCACCAACAAGAGCTTGGTAGGATTTTGCCCGTTTCGCTCAGAGCGGTGTCCCTCCGCGCCGCCCGGGCTTGCCTGGACCTGCCATCCTCCTGCATTCGCTTCTTCAAGGGATCAAAGCTATCCTGCTCTTCCCGTCTGCTCATGCTTCATTCAAGTGGGGAACGGCTGGCCTCGCTCCTATACTCACAAAGCGTGACATAAAGAGAGAGACGAGAAAATGCTCAGCAACGAATGCAGTGAGGAGCTAAAATGGGATTCTGTTGCATTGTATCAGATTCGTAGACCCTGTTCCCTCTCGGTATCCATGGTAACAACCATTTCCGTCAACTCTGCCATCGCTGGCTCCTTTCTGAATTGCATTTTCAAACTCTTTCATTGGTTTCTAAAAGCATATACATGCACCTACCACTCTCTGCTCAAATACAAAGGAAGCGAAGCACTTAATAGATTAAGGATGACTTACTATTCTGACATTATTCATTGAGAACTAAGTACCACTCAATCTACTGGACAAGATACCTACGGGATGCATTAAAGCAATACTTAGACTCATTTCTTGCGCTAATACATGGTTCTATCAAAGTATGGCATTCTAATAGAAAAATTATGGAATTAAAATAAAAAAATTTAAACTCAGTAAATACACCCTACTCTAAACATAGCGAGCACTTATCGAGAGAGACACACAGGAGATAAATTGGCAGCCACAACCCAGGTTTTTTTTTTGTCAGTTGCGGGGGCTGAACTCTGGGCCTGGGCGCTGTCCCTCAGTTCTTCAGCTCAAGGCAAGTGCTCTACCACTTGAGCCACCGCTCCACTTCTGTTTTTTTCTGCTTTATGTGATGCCGAAGAATTGAACCCAGGGCCTCATGCATGCAAGGGAAGCGCTCTACCACTGAGCCACCTCCCCAGCACCTCCAAGTTTCTTATTTTGACTCTCATCTAAGCTGTTCCATATCCATCCTCAAAACTTACGAGTTCTGAAGAGAACTCATAAGAACTAAATCAAGCCAGTGACTCATTTAAATGCAGATACAAAGAGCAAGACGACGCATAACTTGTGGACTGCAGGTTGACTCTTTTGAAACTCCAAGAATTAAACCAGCCAGCAAAGTCTGATAATATCTGGGCAACAACAAGACTTATTATAATAAATAACTTGCTCAAATGGGAACTTGCCCTATCAGTGATCATAAGTGCCACATGTTTTGCACCAACATAGGCAAGATGTAAAAGGAAAGAAAAAAAATGATAAAGGTTTCAATGATTCAAGGGTCACTGGGGAAGATCCAGTAGAAAAAACAAAACACCATGACAGTATTGTCCAAAAAGCCCATAAAAACTTGAACCTGGGACAGGGTACAAAACATGTAGGCTTTGAAACTGTTGGGTGATTACTCACCCCTCTTTACTGAAGTGGAGCAACAGAGTCCAACTCTTCCCTATTAGCTGAGCACAGCAGAAAGATAGAAAAAAATGGGACATATTAGAAGATACTCAACCACAAATCCAATAATGAGCTACTGCCACTGTGCCAATAGGCAGCCTTCCCTCCCTTTGGCCATGTTAATCATTTCGGGACAAATAACCATTGCTGGATCTTTTCTGAATTGCATATTTTTATGTCCTCCTTGGTGGCTAGCAAATACATTTTAAAAATAAGTATACATTTACAACCCTGTGTTCAAGTGAAAACGAGTCACTGAGTAGAATAAAGATGTGCATGGCCTTAAAAGACAGGATGCTAGTGCCTGTTAGCAGCAAGGCCTTCCCCCGGTGGTACCACTGCGGAGTAATCAATGAAACCAAGCTGAGACTCTTATTTGTCTTCTTAGACTGCCTGCATCTGGTGCTCAGCTTGACACCTGCATGGAGTCTTTCAGCAGCCTCAGACGCTTGTGCTCACCGTGCAGTGAGACGTGCGCCCCCTGGTGGCAGACAAGCATTTCCACAGCCAGCCTTGGTCCTCTACTGGGTTATACAAAAGGAACTGGAAATGCACAGTGGACATTTTTTTTCTGCAGTATGAAGAAGTTTGTGACTCCTATTTGTTTAGTGAATTGGCTGACTATGTTCAGGAATTTTTTTTATGAACTTTCAAATGTTCACATTTAGGAAATTAAATTCTATCACCAGGTGCAGATGGCTTACATCTATAATCCTAGCTATTCAGGAGGCTGAGATCTGAGGATTGCGGTTGGAAGCCAGCCTGGGCAGAGAAGTCCCTGTGAGACTCTTTATCTCCAATGAACCACTCAAAAACCAGAAGTGGCGCTGTGGCTCAAAGTGGTAGCGCACTTGTCTTGAGCAAAAGAGCTCAGAGACAGTGCCCAGGGCTGAATTCAAGCCCCATGATCAAGAGAAAAAAAAAAAAAAAGAATTAAGTCATATCATTATAGGTAAGACAAGAATGGAAATATACAAGTTCTTTATGTGCCAGATAAAGGAAACTAAAAAGGGAAATCTGAGGAATGTCTGAAAATATTTTGGCACAAAGAGGTCTTGCTACACTAAATATTTTGATCCGCTATGAAACTGCTATGACAGTGAACCCTTTGTACAAATACTTTTTCATTATTATAAAGATGATGTAACAGGGGGTTTCTGTTTCTTCTATAACAATTCTACACATTTTCACACCTCTGTGAGAAAGATGTAACTACGAAAAAGAATGATAAAGTATTCAATCCTGCAGGAATCATTCTTGACAAGCTCAACAGGAAAAACAAAACACCATGATGAGAATTTCCAACAGGTTTCTGAAAATCTGAACACAATGACCTTCCAAATACAAGCTAACGGGTACGAGACACGTGAGTTCCAACAGACACTGGCGGATTATTCACCCATCTCCTGCGAAGGACATGTTGAGATGCTAGGTTTTCTGTGTCAGCAAATCCTGAAAGGAAAAAGATGCCACCTTAGAAAATGCTTCGCAACATGAGCCATGATGAATAGACGCGCAGTCCCATTGCCATCCTATTGTTAAGTTACACAGGACTAGCCTGTTTCCTAGGAGGAGGTTTCTACCTCTCTGTGTTCGAAGGAAATGGAAGCTAGTCGCCAAATAAACCTGTCCTTCCCGCCTCTCTTCCAGAGCCCACATCTGGCTCTTAGATTGACACCTGCTTTAAGTCCTTCAGTGTCCTGTACTCATCATGGACCCAGACATGCGCCCTGGTGACAAATAAGCACTCCCCCAAGCAGGCTGGCTCTGGGCAGCCAACGACACTGAGCGATCCTCGAAAGATTACAAGTGACAGGAATGCATCTGCCACACTGTGGGTGTGAAAGAGATTTCTGATTTGTAAAGTTATAGTGAAAGTTAGGAGGAGAATTTAGGAAAAGATGTCAAGGCTTCCCTCAAGAAGTTAAAGACTTAACAGCGGGCTGGGAAGGTGGCTCAGTGGTAGAGAGCTTGCCTTGCATGCCTGAGGCCCTGGGTTCAATTCCCCAGCACCACATAAGCAAAAAGAAAAAAGCCAGAAGTGGTGCTGTGGCTCAAGAGGTAGAGCGCTAGCCTTGAGCTGAAGAGCTGAGGGACAGTGCCCAGGTCCAGAGTTCAGGCCCCACGACCGGACCCCCCACCCCAAAAAAATGATTATGCACAGTAGGTCATAAAAGACGTAAAGGAAAGAATCAGAACACTCCATGCGCACAGCACTGGCAAAAGAGGGAGGGAGGGAGGGAGGGAGGGAGGGAGGGAGGGAGGGAGGGAACAGCAGCTTAAGTCTGGCACAGAGGGCGTCTAAATGCCACTTGCTCGTGTTGAAATCAGTGCAGGTAAGGATGGAGGGGTCTCCGTGGTCGGCAGCATTTCTGCCGGGCCCCGTCCTCTCCTGCCTGAAGCCATTTAGTCTGGCAGGGCCCAAGGCGCACCACAGTCCCGGGATCGCATCCAAGAAGGGCATCTTTCATGGACAGGGGAGTCCTGTGATGGTATTCGGATCCCAGGATCCTCCCATTCTAACCCCAAACCCACCAACCCCACTCCCCCATATGCCATCTAGAAGGCTCTGGGGCTGATCCGGGCAGCAGGTGTCACTGAAAGGCAAAAATGGAACCGCAACGACAGAGCCAGCAGGTAGCCTGCTGTTCTGAATCTTAAAAATAACGGGGGTGGGGGGTGGGATGGGGAGGGGGCTGGTGTCTACTGGAAGAGCCAGAATGAGAATTCTGGGGGTTCAGGGAGGAAGAAATCCAGAGCCTGGGGCCTGCAGGTCCCCAAGGGAGCAAAGGAAGGAGGAAGCCGCCTGTTCCAGCCGTGCCTCCGCCTCTACGGGGCCTTAGCCATCCTGGCAAGCATGAGTTTTGCATCTTCCCTTCTCTCCAGCCAGCCAGGCCCCGCACAGCCCCTCGCAGGCATAGTTGAAAGGTTCCCTGCATTTGCTTACCATCCGCGGGCCAAACGGCCGTGGGGTTGTGCTGCCCTCTTGTGGTGGCTGTGGGGAATGTCAGGCAGCTAGCCGGCGGGATCCCCTGGATTGAAAGGAAGTAGAAAAGTGTCCTAGCAATGCACAAACGCTGTTTCTAGCATGGAGTTTGTTCGTTGTTTTGGTTTTGGGGTGGGGGGTCAATCTGGATAGCTCAAGACCTTGCAGATCTCTCCTAAAACTGAACCATTTGGGAGGACATAGACAGACAATAGTTTTCCCCTATGTGTGTGATGCTGCTGAGCATCACACGGCTCCTCCTTGCTTGCAGGGACGCCACAGCTACCCCTCAGTCCATCTGAGGGCCGAAAGAGCCCTCCAAGCCCCTGCTGCTATTTTGTGTTGCCACAATTGCACACGTTCTCCAGCCGCAAAACTGTCAACGAGACACACCTGTTGCAACTGGAAATTTCAGCCCCAAGCATGGATTTCCAAGATTTAAAAAAAAAAAAAAAATCTCACGCACACCTCCATAAGCCATGGCTCACTGATTCATAAGCCAGCCTCCAGGAATTAAGGAATCTCATCATGGCCGTTCAGGGTAGACCAGAACCCGTGTCCATAGGCACCAATCTCATCCAGGAGTGGTCTGCTCATGTGGCCAGAAGCTGGGGCTTCAGGAACGGCCAGTCCTCAGAGGTGGAGGCTTTCTAATTATAAAGCAGGATGAACTGAGGCTCACTTAGAGTCCACCCTTATACTTATAGACCCTCAAACAGCCAGGTACCACTGGCCACTGGCACAGGGATGCTGAATTTCCAATCAAATGTATCAAGGACATTTCTCAGGCCCAGCAGCCGGGGCTAATCCCTTTTCCAAATCTACCTTAGAACTAGGCCCGCATGGAACAAGGTCTGTGCCTGGACACCTTAGCTGCAGGCTTCTCCCTGCCCACGCATGCTCAGTGTTCTTCATGTGAGTCATCCCGGAATGCAGCTGCTATCTTCCCTGACAATGCACAAAGCCAGGCCCCAGCCATTCGCTAGCCCCACGCCTCCACCTGCCCCAACAGGCTCCCCAGCTGGAGGCCATTCAGAGTCTCCTGATCATAGCCTCCACCTTAGGCAACTCCAGGACTCCCACAGGGGCCTAGACAAACTGTTTCTCCCAAGTCTTCTAACAGGATTTTTGCTCAGCCATTGGATTTCCAAGGTCACGTCACCCCCAGCACACACATCCACGTTCTACCCCAAACTTTTAAGAGATCAATGACCACTCTACCTGTCAGCATCCCGCGCTGCCTCTCTGAGACCCTTGCTCTCAAGTTTCGGTAGTTGAGTCCATCCTGCATCCCCTGGGATCGTTCTGGTCTACTGCCCTTCCATCAGGAGAGCCACGATGCCAGTGAGTCTGATTCCCCTGTGGTACTGAAGGCCCTAGGGCCAAACCTGGACAGCAGGTGTCGCTGAAAGACAAGAGTAGGGCAGCAGCTGCTTGGATGTCCTGAAGCCTTCCAGAATTGACCTGGTCAACCAGCTTTGCTGGTTCCTGGAGGGACACCTCCACAGGGTCCAAGGGCACCCATCCCCAGAGGAGCAAAGAGGAGGTAAGCCGTCTGTTCCTGTCCTAACTTTCTGGACCTTACTCCAATTTTAGGGCCTGGACACTGTCCCTGAGCTGTTGTTCCCCCACCCCCCACCCCCCAAGGCTAGTCCTGGATCACTTGAGCCACAGCTCTCTAATTCCACCTTTTTTTTGAGGGGGCAGGTTATTGGAGATAAAAGGTCTCACAGATTTTCCTGCCCGGGCTGACTTTGAACCACAGTCCTCAGATCTCAGCCTCTTGAGTAGCTAGGAGATAGGAATGAGCCACCAGTGCCTGGCTGGGCATCGTTTTTAGGTCACCGCCACTCTTCACGACAATGTAAGGGGTCATCTTTGACCCATGCTGAGTCATAGTCACACACACACAGACACACACACACACACACACACTTTTTCTGTGAGGCATGGCAGCTTTGCCGTTAGGTCTAAAGTATCCTGGATAAAAAGGAGTGTGGTAGTAAACTGCAGATTCTGCCTCAAGGATGGGTTTCACGGGCTCTGGACTTCCACTCAGGATTCAGATGGATCCTCAACACGGACCCATAGATCATCAGTCCATCAGGCCCAGGAAGATCTTGAAAGGGGCTGCGCATAGCCCAGCACTGAGGAGGTCCTTCCGTGAGCACCGTCAGCTGAACGTCCAGCGTTCGTTCCTTCCTGACAATCTACAGTTCCAGCCACAAGCCTCGCAGCCAGCAGTGACCTGTCCGAGCTGGCAGCACCGTGGTCCTCCAACGAGGGATGGCACGGCCCAAATGGCACATCCTTTCCAAGATACCTTAAAAGCCCTGGTCTCAAAAGACAGCAGCTGACTGACACGAGGCCTCTGGGAGCATCAGCCAAGGCCAGGCCCGACAGCCCAGGCCGACGTGAGGCGTCGATGATCCCTAGTCTGATCCGCTCAAGCCCCCAGGACGGATCCGAACCGGGGTCCAGACTGGAAGCCCTCCAAGGGCCGAGGCTGAGCTCAGAGCGGGACAGCGGCTGTGGCTCTCCGGCCCGGTTTCCTGACTGTCAACGAGAGCCACCTGACCCGGGTTGTTTGTCCCACAAAGCCAGCCCGGGGCTATGGAATCTCAGTCGGAGCAGCCGGCCTCACTACGAGCAGGCCGCAGGCTCCCGCCAGGCGCCTCCCCGGCCTGGGCCGCGCTCGCTCACCTGGGCCATTTGCTCCTCGAAGTGGGCAGAGAGTTCTCGAGCTTCTCTCCCTGCGTCGTTCAGCCAGCCAGCACCCGCCCTCGTCGCTCACTCCAGACAAGAGAGCAAGGCCAAAGCCGGCCTCGCCCTTCCCTGATCCCGACCCCGCCCTCCTCGAAAAATCAGCCAACCAGGAGCTCCACACACTTCCCCCTGATCCCGACCCCGCCCTCCTCTAAAAATCAGCCAACCAGGAGCTCCACACACTTCCCCCTGATCCCGACCCCGCCCTCATCTAAAAATCAACCAACCAGGAGCTCCACACACTTCCTCCTACTCCCAACTCCGTCCTCATCTAAAAATCAACCAACCAGGAGCTCTCACACACTTTCATCTGCTCCCAACCCCGCCCTCATCTAAAAATCAACCAATCAGGAGCTCCCGCACACTTCCCCCTATCCTGACCCCGCTCTTATCTAAAAAATCAACCCATCAGGATCTCCCACACACTTCCCCCCTGATCCCGACTCCGCCTTCATCTAAAAATCAACCAACCAGGAGCTCCCACACACTTCCATCTACTCCCAACCCCGCCCTCATCTAAAAATCAACCAATCAGGAGCTCTCACACACTTCCATCTGCTCCCAACCCTGCCCTCATCTACACTCAACCAATCAGGAGCTCCCGCACACTTCCCCCCTGCTCCCAACTCCGCCTTCATCTAAAAAATCAACCAACCAGGAGCTCCCGCACACTTCCACCAGCTCCCAACTCTGCCCTCATCTATACTCAACCAATCAGGAGCTCCAGCACACATCTACCTGCTACCAACCCCGCCCTCACTTAAAAATCAACCAGTCAGGAGCTCCCACACATTTCCCTGCTCCCAACTCCACCCTCATCTAAAAAAAAAAAAAAAATCAACCAACCAGGAACTCCTGCACACTTCCACATGCTCCCAACTCCGCCCTCATCTACACTCAACCAATCAGGAGCTCCATCACACTTCCACCTGCTTCCAACTCCGCCCTCATCTAAAAAAATTAACCAATCAGGAGCTCTGGCACACTTCTACCTGTTTTTTTCTCAACCCCGCCCTCATCTAAAAATCAACCAATCAGGAGCTCTGGCACACTTCCGCCTGATTCCCAATCCTCCCCTTATCTAAAAGCCAACCAATCAGGAGTCCCTCGGCATCCCGCGCGAGAACCCCTGGAGAACCCCTGCAGCCAACGCTAATTGGCTCCACACGGGGCCTTTCCAAGCAGGAGATTCTGGGACCAGGGAAAAAACTGTTTTCCCCAGGAATCCTTGTGGGTTTGGGGCCAGAAATCAGGTTTCCATCGCACGGCCCGCTGTTCTGTCTGCTTCCCGAGGGGACCCTGGATGGCAGCCCTGGTTCGCGGGGCAGCGAACTCCGCACCCCGGGCCCGGGCCGGGCTCGTGCACGGACGGTGGCGCCCACGGGCCACGGCGTGTCTGTGGCAGGACCGGGGCAGAGTCCTCCGCGGTGCACGCAGGGCGGGGACCGGCTGTGCGCGGACCCGCGGGAAGCATCCTTGGTGCCTGGGGATAGTTCCAGAACCTGGGCCTTGGCGCAGGATGCAGCAGAAGCCAGGGCCAGGGGCAGCGGGGGAATGGCGGCCGGCCGAAGACACACTGGGAAGTGAGACCCGAGCCGGGCGGCAGCCGCGCGTCCTGTCTGCGGATGGACGGCCACGACCACCGGCCGCGGAGTCGGGGGTTCGAGGACGAGCCCAGCTCCCCGCCGGATGGCGCCGCCGCCCAGCGCCCACCGCTGGGCTTCGGCCTAGATGGGGTCGGGATTGTTCTGTCATCTTCTCTCTTCAAGACTTAACAACTTCCCGGCCAAAATGAAAATCTAGGATAAAAATAGAGGTTCCCCCAATTCTAGCCAGAGACCGGTGGCGCAGGTCTGTAATCCTAGCTGCTCAGAGAATGCAAGTGTGAAGCCAGCCCGGGCACAAGCAACGACCATGCACGCACACACACACACACAGCCCGGGCACAAGCAACGACCACGCACACAACACACACACACACACACAGCCCGGGCACAAGCAACGACCACGCACACAACACACACACACAGCCCGGGCACAAGCAACGACCACACACACACACACACACACACAGCCCGGGCACAAGCAACGACCACACACACAACACACACACACACACACACACACACACACAGCCCGGGCACAAGCAACGACCACGCACACAACACACACACACACAGCCCAGGCACAAGCAACGACCACGCACACAACACACACACACAGCCCGGGCACAAGCAACGACCACACACACACACACACACAGCCCGGGCACAAGCAACGACCACACACACACACACACACACAGCCCGGGCACAAGCAACGACCACACACACACACACACACACAGCCCGGGCACAAGCAAGGACCACACACACACAACACACACACACACAAAGCCCGGGCACAAGCAATGACCACACACACAACACACACACACAGCCCGGGCACAAGCAAGGACCACACACACACAACACACACACACACAAAGCCCGGGCACAAGCAACGACCACGCACACAACACACACACACAGCCCGGGCACAAGCAACGACCACACACACAACACACACACACAGCCCGGGCACAAGCAACGACCACACACACACACACACACAGCCCGGGCACAAGCAACGACCACACACACACACACACACAGCCCGGGCACAAGCAACGACCACACACACAACACACACAGCCCGGGCACAAGCAACGACCACACACACACACACACACACACAGCCCGGGCACAAGCAACGACCACACACACACACACAGCCCGGGCACAAGCAATGACCACACACACACACACACAGCCCGGGCACAAGCAAGGACCACACACACGCACACACAGCACGGGCACAAGCAATGACCACACACACACACACACACAGCCCGGGCACAAGCAACGACCACACACACACACACACAGCCCGGGCACAAGCAACGACCACACACACACACACACACAGCCCGGGCACAAGCAAGGACCACACACACACAACACACACACACACAAAGCCCGGGCACAAGCAACGACAATACACACACACACACAGCCCGGGCACAAGCAATGACCATACACACACACACACACACAGCCCAGGCACAAGCAACGACCACACACACACACACACACACAGCCCGGGCACAAGCAACGACCACACACACACACACACACACAGCCCGGGCACAAGCAACGACCACACACACACAACACACACACACACACACAGCCCGGGCACAAGCAATGACCATACACACACACACACACACAGCCCGGGCACAAGCAACGACCACACACACACACACACACACAGCCCGGGCACAAGCAACGACCACACACACACACACACACACAGCCCGGGCACAAGCAAGGACCACACACACACACACACACAGCCCGGGCACAAGCAACGACCACACACACACACACACACAGCCCGGGCACAAGCAACGACCACACACACACACACACACACACAGCCCGGGCACAAGCAACGACCACACACACACACACACACACAGCCCGGGCACAAGCAAGGACCACACACACACAACATACACACACACAAAGCCCGGGCACAAGCAATGACCACACACACAACACACACACACAGCCCGGGCACAAGCAACGACCACACACACACACACACACACACAGCCCGGGCACAAGCAACGACCACACACACACACACACACACACAGCCCGGGCACAAGCAACGACCATACACACACACACACAGCCTGGGCACAAACAACGACCACACACACAACACACACACACACACACAGCCCAGGCACAAGCAACGACAATACACACACACACACAGCCCAGGCACAAACAACGACAATACACACACAACACACACACAGCCCGGGCACAAGCAACGACCACACACACACACACACACAGCCCGGGCACAAGCAACGACCACACACACACACAACACACACACACACAAAGCCCGGGCACAAGCAATGACCATACACACACACACACAAAGCCCGGGCACAAGCAACGACCATACACACACACACACACCATCACTCTGTGAGACTCTTTTCTCCAATGAATCAAGGGGTAGAGTTGGCAGCATTAAGTAAAAAAAAAGTAACCAACA